CCCCATCGCCTCGACTCGCGCCCGTTCTGCATGTGTATGTTTGTGCTTCCATCTATGCCGGTGCGTGGAGAGCGATGCTTGTAATATCGAAGACGCCTGCGGCAGTCTTGACCCCCAGAAGGAGCCAGTTTTGTGAGGACATCTCATGCGAAATGCGACCCGGCACATCTAAGGATACGTACTTATGCGCGCACATTTATATACACACTACACATATGCATACTTATACTTTACACTTTCTCAGATCATCATGATCTTTCCTTTTCGTCGCCCCCCTCCTCGTCCTCCTTCCTCCTCGTCGCCCTCCTTGTCCTCCTCGTCCTCGCTCCCTTCTCTCTCGTCCGCCGCCGCCGCCGCCGCCGCCGCCGCCGCCGCCGCCGCCGCCGCCGCCGCCGTCGTCGTCGTCGTCGTCGTCGTCGTCGTCGTCGTCGTCGTCGTCGTCGTCGTCGTCGTCGTCGTCGTCGTCGTCGTCGTCGTCGTCGTCGTCGTCGTCGTCCTCGTCGAGTCGTCCTCGTCGTCATCGTCGTCGTCGTCGTCCTCCTCCTCCTCCTCCATTTTTCCATTGCACTAACACCTGGCAAGTTCTCGTTGGGGGCTCGGGGGGGGGCCGCTGGGGTGCCGGCGCGCGGGGGGGAAGGCGCCGCCGCCCGCCCGGCGCGTGGCCGAGTTCCGGCCGAACTCGGCCACGCGGGGCGCGGACGCTAGCGCCCCGACGGTGCCGCAGAGGATGGTCGCCTCCTCCCCCCCGCCCCTCCCCTCCGCGCTTTCCTTCGCATGGGGAGCCCAGGGTGGGAGATGGTGCTGTGGGAGGGGGCCGCCCCCCTCGCGGCCACACGGACCCGCGGCTGAGGCGTTGTGGGGGGACCGGACGCGCCCATCCCACACCCCTTGGCGGGCAGGGGCGCCGCGCTCCCCCGTGAAAGGTACCCCCTGGGGCAGCGGCGCCCCCGGCTCCCCAAGGCGCGGGAGCCGAAGGCCCAGGGGGCGGATGTTGTCCCGCGCCAGGGAGTCGCCTGGCCCCTCGGGGACCCCCCGGGGGCCGTCCGGAATTACATAGTCCGAAACATAGTCCTCCTCCTCGTCCTCGTCCTCCGTCCTTGCCCCCCTCCCGATCCTCCCCTCACCACTCCTCATCCGTCTCTCTCTCTCTCTCACTCTCTCTCTCTCTCTCTCTCCATCTCTCTCTCTCTCCATCTCTCTTTCTCTCTGGCGCTCTCGCTCTGTGTGTATGCGTGTGTGTATGTGTATGTGGATGTGTGTATGAGCATGTGTATGTGCACGTGTACGTGTATGTGTATGTGAATGTGTACCTGTATGTGTATGTGTATGTGTATGTGTATGTGCATGTGCATGTGCATGTGCATGTGTATGTGAGTATGTGAGTATGTGAGTATGTGAGTATGTGAGTATGTGAGTATGTGAGTATGTGTGTATGTGTATGTGTGTATGTGTGTATGTGTGTATGTGCGCGCATGCGCGTGCGCGTGTAGACGCGTGCGCGTGTGCGCGTGTGCAAGTGCGCAAATGTGCGCGTGCGCGAGTGTGCAAGTGTGCGCGTGTGCGCGTGGGCGCGTGGGCGTTTGTGCGCGTGTGCGCGTATGCGCGTGTGCGCTTGTGTGCTTCTGCGCTTGTGCGCGAGTGCGCGTGTGCGCACGTGCGCGTGCGCGTGTGCGTGTGGGTGTGCGTGTGCGTGTGCGTGTGCGTGTGCGTGTGCATATGCGTGCGCGTGGGCGCGGGCGTGGGCGTGTGCGTGTGCGTGTGCGTATGCGTGTGCGTGTGCGTGCGCGTGCGCGTGCGCGTGTGCGTATGCGTGTGCGTGTGCGTGTGCGTGTGCGTGTGCGTGTGCATGTGCGTGTGCGCGGGCGTGGGCGTGTGCCTGTGGGTGTGGGTGTGCGCTTGCGTGTGCGTGTGGGTGTGCGTGTGCGTGTGCGTGTGCGTGTGCTTGTACGTGTGCGTGTGCGTGTGCGCGTGGGCGGGCGTGTGGTTTGCGCGTGCGTGTGCGCGGGCGTGTGTGTGTGTGTGCGTGTGCGTGGGCGTGGGCGTGGGCGTGGGCGTGGGGTTGGGTTTGGATGTGGGTGTGGCCGTGGGCGTGTGGGCGTGGGTTTGGATGTGGGTGTGGGTGTGGGTGTGGAAGTGGGTGTGTGAGTGTGAGTGTGCGAATGTGAATGTGAATGTGAATGTGCAAATGAATGCAAATGTCAGTGTGAATGCGAATGCGAATGCGGACGTGGAAGTGACTGTGAATGTGAATATGAAGGTGAACGTGAACGTGATGTGAATGCGAATGTGAATGTGAACGTGAAAATGAAAGCGGAAGTGTGTGAGTGTGTGTTTGTTTGTTTTGGTTTGTGTGTGTGTTTTGTGTGTGCCTTGTGTGTTCTGCGTGCGGGCAAAAAACTCTCGACGTCGGCGCTGTGCAAGGGAGAAGGGGGGGGAACACGAGGGTTTGGGACCCTGTGGGGCCCCAGATCTTACCGAGATCGGCACGTTCTCCTAAAACACCGAATGCAGCGTCTCAATGTGTTCTTGATCGGACGAATTTCGGCCAGCGCACATATCAGAGTGAGGGAGCCAAACGGTCATCCATTGTCCCTGCATGCGTGGGTTAAGTGGGATTCCATCGCCCTGAGTCTGCTTAGTTGTTGTTGTTGCGGGTTGTTGTTGTTGTCGTCGTCCTCGCCCGCGACCCGCCCGCGACCCACCCCGCGACCCACCCCGCGACCCACCCCGCGACCCATCCCGCGACCCACCCGCGACTCACCCCGCGACCCTCACACATTGCTTTGACGAAAATTCGGCGCCTGCGGCGGGCTCGTTGCATAATTTGTTTGTTTTGAGAAGGGAAACAACTATTTCTAACACAAACCCAAACAAACAACAAACAAACAAACAAAAAACGCCTGCGGCGGGCTTCTTCAGAGCCTCGCAGACTGCCGACGACCCCGCCGCCCGCTCATTCACATCCGCACAGGCGGGGGCGATGGTAACTATATGTGTAACCCCTGTCATTCCATATACATATATATATATATATATACATGTCTCCTCCTCGCGCGGCGCTCCGTACTCCTCTTCCCGCGTTTCCTGATCCCCTCGCTATTTTCACCATCCCTCCTCCTTCCCTATCCCCACTCCTCCCGTCCTACTCCTCCCCAACTCCCGCCCCGCCCCTCTTTCAACACCTCCGCTCCACCCCTTCCTCCCGCCCCCCTCCCTTCCTCGCATTCTGAATCATGGCACCCCCTCCCTGACTCCTGCTCTTCGGCCCCAGCTTCTCCCCCTGACCGTCCCCCTTCAGACCTCCACTCCGTCCCTCCCTACCTCCCACCCTCTATCGCAAGCTTTATGTGGGGCCTGTCCCCCTACAGGGGGATTTTCGACGAAAAATTAAAAATATTCCAAAAATACCCCAGAAAGGCCAACAAAAATATCCAAAAATAGCCCCCAGACTATTTCTGGACCATTTTTTGATTGTTGTTGGGGTATGTTTTATTTTTCATCGAAAATCCCCCTGTAGGGGACAGGCCCAACTTAACGCAAGCTTCTCCTTTCCTCTCCCCTCCCTCCCGCCCCGTGCCCCCCCTCTTCCCTCACCCCCAAAACCCCTTCACTCGCCAGCTGCCTGCTCTTCGCCCCCTCCCTGACTCCTGCTCTTCGCCCCCAGCTTCTCCCCCTGACCCTCCCTACCTCCCACCCTCTATCGCAAGCTTCTCCTTTCCTCTCACCCTCCCTCCCGCCCCCTGACCCCCTCTTCCATCACCCCCGAAACCCCTTCACTCGCCGGCTGCCTGCTCCGACCCTCTCCCTCCTGGCCAGCCTCCTCTGAAGGGGCCCTGGGACACACAAATAAATACACACAGATAACAGGATTCCCCATATTTCCCATCTTTTCTGGGTTGTTGTCTTCCCCCCACTTCCCATATTTTCCCATATTTTCTGGGGAATCGACGATTAATTGTGTCTGTGTGTTTTTTTCCCCTGATCATCATCCTCCCTCCCTCCCTTCCCTCCCTCCCTCCCTTTCCCAAACCTCCGGCTGCTCCAATATGTCCTATGTGTGGCTCCCAAAGTCCCCTTCCCTGGGGCCGGTTTGTAGTCCCGAGTCGTTCTTTGACGGTCCCGAGGCTCAGCGAGGGCCCCTGGAGGCCGAAAGCAGCCCATAACCGCCCGCTCCAACTTTTGTTGGAGCGCCGGATCTCTGGGTCCCCATCCTCCCTCACTCCCCTCCCTGCCCTCCCTCCCTTCCTTGGGCGCCCAAGTTATCCGGGGTAACTCGGGTCCGGGGTAACTCGGGTTTGGATTCCCGAAATACGAACCCGAGTTAGCCCTGACCCGAGTTACCCCTGATGATTCGGGGCTCTGGACGCCCGAGTTATCCGGGGTAACTCGGGTCCGGGGCAACTCGGGCTTGGATTCCCGAAAGACGAACCCGAGTTAGCCCTGACCCGAGCTACCCCGGATGATTCGGGGCTCTGGACGCCCGAGTTATCCGGGGTAGCTCGGGTCCGGGGCAGCTCGGGCTTGGGTTCCCGAAAGACGAACCCGAGTGAGCCCTGACCCGAGCTACCCCGGATGATTCGGGGCTCTGGACGCCCGAGTTATCCGGGGTAACTCGGGTCCGGGGCAACTCGGCTTGGATTCCCGAAAGACGAACCCGAGTTAGCCCTGACCCGAGCTACCCCGGATGATTCGGGGCTCTGGACGCCCGAGTTATCCGGGGTAACTCGGGTCCGGGGCAGCTCGGGCTTGGGTTCCCGAAAGACGAACCCGAGTGAGCCCTGACCCGAGCTACCCCGGATGATTCGGGGCTCTGACTTCCCAATCCTCCCTCCCATCCTTCCCTCCCTCCCCTCCCCTCCCCTCCCCATCCTCCCCTCCCCTCCCCATCCCTCAAAAAAATGCAAAAATATTTTGTCTGAGCTTCGGTTTTGTTTCCTGGTGGGCGCAAGACCTGACTCCTCTGCCTCCTACTCTGGCGCGGCGCTGCGCGCCGACCGCTCCTGCCGGCCTTGCCAGAGGACCGGAACCAGCTGTCCCCGGTCGACGCCATCCCTGCGCGCGCCGGGCAGCCAGGGAGGGGGAGAAGGGCGAGCGGACCCCGAAAGATCCGACGCCGCAAAAGAAACTGGAGCAGGGCGGCTTCGTGCCGTGTTCGGCCTCCGGGGGGCCCTCGCTGGGCCCCGAGGGCCGTCGGAGAGCGGCGCAGGACGGCTCAGCTGGCCCGCGGGGGGAGCGGCGTCCAGGCCTCCAGGGCCCAGGCATCGAAGAGAGATCGAAGCAGCCGCGGGGGGCAGGCGGCGACGGATGCGCGGCGTCGGCTGGGGGCCCCCGCTCGAACGGGAGCCGCCCCCGAGGCCCGACAACCCGCACGCACTCCCACACTGGAGGCACTGGACATGGGCACCAACACCAACACAGGGGGCTGCCTCCACACAAGGGGATGATGCTCCCAGATTTCGGTGCTGGTGGTAATAGTTCGGTCACCTCGAGGCCAGAATATCACCACCATCACCGAGATCGGGAGCTTCTTCCCTCGGTGGAGGCACACCGCCGATACCGGTGTTGGTGTCAACCTCTAAGCCTCCGACCACAGCCGGTCTGTCTATACTGGTGGTCCCCGTGCCGCAGGTTCGCGCGGCGGCTGCGCGCGCCGAGGGCTTCTGACGCCGCGTCGACCGCTCGACCTGGCACCGATATCGCGGCCCGATCGTTCGAGGTCGGATTCCGTCCGGTCCAGCGGCGTCGCCCTGCCCCTCGGCGCTGCCGTGTCGCAGCGCTCACCCTGGCACGCCTTCGCTGGCGCCGCTGGCGCGCCAGCACCGCACGTGCCTACCGCACGTGTGAGGAGGAGGAGGAGGAGGAGGAGGAGGAGGAGGAGGAGGAGGAGGAGGAGGCGGGCGTGTCCCAGACCCCCAACGTCGTGATTTCTTCATGACGTGACCCCCGGGAGCCTGGACCCCTTCCCGGGGACCGGCTGTTCCAGCCTGAGCCGTCCCTTGACGGTCCCCGAGGCCCGGCGAGGGCCCCTGGAGGCCGAAGATAGCGAAAAGCTTCCCGCCGTGATTTTTGGTTCACGGCGCGAGGATGTCTGGGGTGGCTCCTGCGTCAGAGCAGGCGCGTGGCCAGGGCGAGGCGTCGACGAGCATCCTCGAAGGGCGGCCCCAGGAGAGCACAGCGGGCCAGCGCCCACGGCCCGGGAGGCACGGTGGGCCTCCCATGCGTGCTTGCAGTGGGGAGCGCTTGGTCGATCACCCACGCCGGGCTGGCCACCGCTCGGACGTCCATTCCCCGTGTGTCTGCTCGGTCTCGTGCGTGGTTTTCTCGCAGGACGATCCAGGATGCTCCAAATGCAGAGTGGGAGAGCTCCAAACCGTATACAGTCGAGGCGTTGACCCAAGGAACCCTACATAAGGAACGAGGCCCCTTTTTCCCGTGAGTTCAACCTCGATTTCCTATGGGCAACCTCAGGAAAACCCGAGGCCTACTTTGAAACAATGAAGGAACACTGAGCCCCTCCCCAACGAAGAGGGTTCCTTCTTCAGCGCCCCCCGGGTCGGGCGAAAGGGGGGGAGGGGATAGCAAAGGGGGGGGGGGGAGAATCAGCTCACGTAGCTGATGTTCCCGGCGCCTCCCGGCGCCGGAGGCGACTATGTATCGAGGAATGGGCCCCTCGGTGGGGCCGAAACCAGCTGCATGCAGCAGATTTCGTAACCCCCCCTTTCCCAATCCCCCCCTTTCCTCCAGCCCGAATCAAGGAGCACCGAGCCCCTCCCCAACGAAGAGGGTTCCTTCTTCAGCGCCCCGACTGTACACCACCACCAGCCCCGCCCAGGCCCGGAGGTTGGCACACCGGTCCAGGGCCCAGGGCGGACCTGGCCAGGGCTGGTGGTGGTGTATTGTTTACCTACGGGGCAAACAAACCTACCTCGCTTTTGACCGCCCTCGCTTCCAAGAGATACCAAGCGATGCCAAACTACGGCCTGTGCTGGTCAGGCCGCTTGACGAGGAGGCGCGTGGTACGACTTGGTTTTGCCTGGAAGCGAAAGCGGGGCAGGTAATCCACGCTCTGATTACCAGCCTCGAACGTATCCCTATCCCTAAGATTGACACGCCAAAAGGCGATGACAATCTTAGGGATTCGCCCTCAAAAAATGAGGGAATCCCTAAGATTGGCATCGTGATGAGGAGGTGCCCAGCATAGGGATAGGGATAGATTCCAGGCTGGTAAATTGTTGGCGTCCCTCCGACAGATGACATCGATGAGGCTGATATCGGTGGCAACTCATGGGAGCCTCCCATACCCTCTTTGTCGGCTCTTGCGAATCGACGCTCGTCGACGCCAAATCGACGCCCATCGGCGCTAGCCGACGCTGAAACGGCGCCATCTGATCCACTCTTAAGCGCTGCTCGACGCCAATCGCCGCTAGGGGCGGAACTAAGAGGGTACACGAGGCTCCCATGATTTGCTACCGAATGAGGTTGATGTGCACGTGCCTTCCTGTGACACCGTCTCCAACTGGGCGACGAAACAAAGCTGCCCTTACGCGAGATGGCACAGCGACCTTGCGCCGCAGCTTGCGCGGGCCGCTGGCGCGGCACGCTACGCTGAAAGCGAGGGCGTTTACGCGCGATCTTACGCGGGCAGCTTACGCGCCAATGTCGGCGAAGACGACCCCGTGTTTTTGTTGCGCCGCCCAAGTGGGCCAGAGCCCCTTCCGACTCCGACAAGGAGCTCTTGTGCATCTACTTTTTGGGCGCAGTTACGTCGGAGACCAGACGCCAGTCGGGTACGACCTGCGGTGGCTGTGGGACAGGTTGGCCTTCGTTCAAACATGTATGGGCCGAGCGTCCAGAAGTTCACCGTAGGAGTCGTAACATTGCTGACTTGTTCGAGTTACCTCCGTTGTTTGGGACGTCGGTCCCCAAAGTGACGGCCAAGAGTGAAGGGATCACGTTGACTGAGGCTCTCCTTGCAAGAGAGAGCGCCAATGATGAGAGCTTGCTGTGAACTGTCTCCGACTGTTCTGGCGCTGGATCCAAGCGAGCGCCTCCACCCGAAAGAGTGCTGAATTACCTCTGGTTGGCCTAATACGTGATAGAATGGCTCATCATGGGACGCATAGAGACGTACTATTACTATATGTCCTTCTTGGAGGCGCGCATCCGACCCGAACATATAGTACACTCATCTTGTACTAAATCGTTCCCCGAGCGGCGTGGCCAGAAAGCACCCGCCACAACGCATAAACTACAAGATTTCTCGGTGCGCGCGTCGCCCCTGGGGGGGTGGGGGCGACGCGCACATAGCATTAGCATGTTGGGGTGACGCCGACATCATCACCCTCTTCTTCGGTCGGACACTTGTGCACTGATGGGCGCATGCTCCACAACCACCATGGGTAGGACGGAGGAGGGGAAGATGGGGAGGTCCTCCTCATCCCCCTCCTCCTCTTCCTCCTCCTCCTCCTCATTATCCTCCTCCTCATCTTCCTCCCCCTATGGTTAGAGGGGGTGGAGAATCGGCCCATCAACGCTCCGGGCCGTTTAGCAAACGAACACTGTCGGGGTCGGGGTGGCGTTTCCTCCCTTGGCCATCCTCCCCCTCGTTTTGTCCTCCCCGCCTCCCCTCCCGCTGCCTCTTCGCTGCCCCTCCGCGAAGAGTGAGTGATGGGGAGAGGGAGCGAGGGGGAGTGAGGCAGCGGGGAGGAGAGAAGCCACTCCCTCCTCGGGGTCGGAGCGGCTTTTCTCCTCCCCGCCTCCCTCCAACTCACTCTCCTCACTCCCTCGCCACCTCCTCGCCTCTGCTCGCTGCAGCGGGCCCCGCGCGCCGCTGCCGCGCGCCTCCTGAACGCCCACAGCAGCCGGCCAGCCGCCCTCCCGCGCTCGCTCCCCCCCCCTCCTCCTCCCCTCCCCTCCCTCCCCTCCCTCGCTCTCCACCCCCCCTCTCCCCCTCGCGTCTCCCTCCTTCCCTCCTGCCTTCCTCCTCCCTCGCACCCCCCCGTGGCTCCGCCGCTCCCCCGCTCCTACCTCACCCCCCCCCCTCCCGCTTCCCCCTATCGTTCCTCCCCTCCCCCCTGGTCCCTCATTGCTCATCCCTCCTCCCCCCCCCCTTACACGCCTTGCTCCCCATCCTCCTCCCCCCCCTCCCTCGCTCGTCCCTCGCTCCCTCTGCCCTCGCCCCTCCCTCCCCGCCTCCCTCGCTCCTCCCTCCTCCCCCCTCCCTCGCTCCTCCCTCCTCCCCCCTCCCTCGCTCCTCCCTCCTCCCCCCTCCCCTCCCCTCCTTGCTCCCGCCTCCCTCCCCCCCTCGCTCCTCCGTCGCTCCCGCCATGGGAGAAAGAGGAGGGAGGAGGAGGAGGAGGAGGAGGAGGAGGAGCAGGAGGAGGAGGAGGAGGAAGAGGAGGAGAAGGAGGAGGAGGACGAGGACGAGGAGGGAGGAGAAGGAGGAGGAGGAGGGAGGAGAGGAAGACGATGATGATGAGAATGATGATGATGAATGAGGAGGAGGCAGGAGGCAAAGAGGAGGAGGAGTGAGGAGGGGAAGACGATGAGGAGGAGGGTGAAGGTAGGAGGAGGAGGAGGAGGACTCCCCCCTCGCGCCTCCCCACTCCGCCACTGACTGCTCCCCTTCCCCAAGTGCGCACGCCCGCCTGCAATGGCAGGGAGACCTCGCGGCGCGCCGCGGCCGCCAGCCCCGCCCCCCCCCCGCCCCACGCCCGCGGCTCGAGCAGCGGCAGGAGGCGGGGGGGAGAAGGGAGGGGAAGGAGGGAGGGAGGGAGAGGTGGAGGGGAGGGGAGGGGAGGGGAGGGAGGAGGGGAGGGAGGGCAGGTAGGGGTCGGGAGGGGGGGGGGAGGGGAGTGCGGGAAAGGGGGAAGCTGGAAAGGAGGGTCAGGGGGTAAGGGGGGAAGTGAGGGGGCAAAGAGGGCGGGGAGGGGTGGGGGTGGGCGGGTGGAATGGCAGGAAGGGAGGGAGGGGGGGAGGAGGGGAGATAAGAAGGGGTAGGAGTGAGGGAGGGGAGTAAAAGGGGGGAAAAAAAAGGGAAAAAAAAAAAAGGGGAGGGAGGAGGGAGGAGGAAAAGAGGGAAGGGGTAAAAGGGAGGAGGGGGAGGGAGGAAGGAAGAGAGGTTGGGAGATCCTGGTGGAGGCGCACAGCAGGGGGAGGAGGAGGAGAGGAGGAGGAGGAGGAGGAGGAGGAGGAGGAGGAGGAGGAGGCCGATGAGAAGGTGAAGGATGAGGAGAGGCCAAGACTCCGAGGAGCAATGGGCAGCAGGGAGGATTGATGAGGGAAGAAGGAAGGGAGGAGGGAGGGGGAGGAGGAAGGCTGATTTTTGTTCGGGTGGACACCTTCGACCCCTACCAGCGACACCTTAGACCCCTAACTCATGTGTGAAACTTATGCCAACTGTTAAAACGAATGCGCGCGGCGTAGGGCGAGAACCACACTTTGAACAGGACCCACCCTCCATCAACGAACTGAGCGGACGGAGGCATGTCTGCCGCGCTCGCTTGTTGCACAATTACCACCAACATCGTCCTCTTCCTCCAACTCCGAATCCTCATCGCCTGTTGGACCGAGGAGGAGCCGGAGAGGTGGACGCTGAAGTCGAGACGCCCACAATGGGAGCCGTCCCTCCTCCTCCTCCTCCTCCTCCTCCTCCTCCTCCTCCTCCTCGTGCTCCTGCTCCTGCTCCTGCTCCTCCTCCTCCCTCATCCCCTTCTCCTCTTCCTCCTAACCACCCACCACAATCATCGCCCTGCTGCTGTTGCTGCTGCTGCTGCCGCTGCTGCTGCTGCTGTCCTCCCTCCCCCACGTCTCTTCCTCCTCGTCTTCCCATTCCTCCTCCGCATCATCCTCATCCACCTGCTTTTTTCCCCTCGTTTAATGTTCCTCCTCCCCTTCCTGCCCCACCTATTTCCACATCGCCGCGCTCTCTCTCTCTCTCTCTCTCGCCACGGTGCTAGTGGACCTGCGCAAATTCTGCGAGGACGTGGACTTCCTGCGGTCAGTCACGGCTTCCTGCTGCGTCTGTTGCGCAGCTTTGGAACCATCTGCGCCGGCATCCTCGGCTAATGAAAGCAAAGCCGACTCCACATTCGTCTGCGCGGAGCTTATACTATAGATGTCCGAGCGTGCGCGTCTCCTTTGCGTGGCCGACGCACGTCTAGTATGCAGTGTAAGTATGTTCGGGTGGTGCTGAAGAGAGAGACACCCACTGACGGGCAGATCTCGGCCCAGCGCGCGGCATGGGTGGATGGCGCCGCAAGGCCTCACGTGCGCAATTGCACGCTGGCCTTCCTTAAGCTGTAGAACATCTATCCTTTCCCCAATCCTTCCACCGCCATGGCGTGGAGCACGCACATCTAGCATATCCAAAAGTTACCGGCCGTACCCCCCCCCCC